GGGAGGCAGAGCTTGCAGTGAGCCGAGATTGCGCCACTGCACTCCAGCCTGGGAGACACAGCGAGACTCCGTCTCAAAAAAAAAAAAGAATGAGAAGATATCATTTGGGATAACCTCTACTGTTTCCAAATAGAAAAATGATTTAGAATGAACCAAGAATAATATTCATTAAATGCTGAGTGCTAAGCAGTGGTCTACTGAAATTAAAGTTACGAGACAACAATGTGTTAGAAGGAACCTGGAAGAAATGTTCCCGGACACTCAAATATAAGCACAAGTGACATCCTATCTATAAATTTTCTTGATTTCTTGTCAACAGAGGAACAGGAAATCCAGAAATGAAAAATCAGGAAATTGTTGATAATTTCCTATCTGTTTCTGCTCATTTAAATTCAGAGCCTCCAGCCAAATGTTGGGAATGATCACCTTTAATCCTTGTTAACAGAGCTCTACTGTGGCCTCTGGTGCCCACATAATACCAGACAGAAAAAGGGCAGGCCGCCCTTAGGGGTTGGAGGTTTCATGGTGGGACACTACACGTGTCAGGAAGGGAAGACTGTCTGCATCGCAGACTCCCTTAGGCAACTACTCTTTCCGGTGCTGCTGCAAAAAGGAAGACATTTTATGAGCAGATCCAGGGGCTGGTGGCCAGCAAACACAGACTGCTAGGACAAGCATTCGCAGCTGGGACTGTGGGTAAGTAAGATTCCTGAGGCACACCACATGGAGGAAGGCCCCATTCGCCTCTGCATAAGTGTGTGGGCAAAGAGTGAGAATTCTCTGCGGATTATAGTGAGAACCCAAACTTGCTCATAAAGAAGGCTCTATGTGGTCTTTCGCCTCCAGGAGATGGAGAGCTGCTAGAGAGTAGGTCAGGGTCCAATCTTCTCTTGCTTGCCATGGTGGGGCCCAACCCTGGACCTAGGACCATAATAGGGTCTCTTGGGAGTTTTCATGAATGGTGATTTTGTCATCCTCTGATCCCAACTATATGACTTCACCCAGCATATTTTAATGAGTCTGAGGCTGACATCTGCAATACAGTGATGGGGATTTGGGTTATGGTTGCACTCCACTGTATGATGTCTGCCACCTCCAGATAAACTGGGTACTTCTATCCCCCAGATGCCACATCATCTAGATGGCAACATTTCTCCAGATATCACAGTGTTGGGTATCCATAGCTTGAGCTCCTAGCTTCCCAGAAACACAAAATCGGGTATCCCTCTTACCCTTCTTGCCCATGTCTGAGAGGGCGGTGGGAACACATTATCTGCAGTGAGGCTTGATGTGTTGTGATGTGATCCACATGATCCCCAGATGCTTTTCAGGTTCTTCGCTGCGAAGAGTTTGTATCTGTTGGTTGCATTTTTCATTGGTTCTAAGACATAGGTTTCATTTTCAAACATAATAAGTCCCCTGTTGAAAAATAAATAAGAAAAAAATATAATTTTAAGGGCAGCTTCTTGTTTATGGCTAAGACATAGCTCTTAACAAGAGACAGAATGAAAAAAGAAACACCAATTTATTTATATTCTCAGATTTTAATCAGAAAGGACATTTCTGTGACATATGTCTGCATTGATTCATTTCGCAAATCTTTTGGAAAGTTAACCTAGGAATTGTCTTTTGTTTGAAATATTTTATGGTAAAGAATACAGTGCCTTTTGCTTTTGTATGTTTTTATCACTTTTTATGTCTCAAAGATATATTGCCGGGAAGAAGAATGAGGAAAAAGATGTTTCAACTGCTTAGAAGTAACTGTATCTGAATTAGCAGCCACATGGCAAAAGGGAAATGTTTAACTTTTAAAAAAATTTCAGTAACCTCAGGGGTACAGTAGCTTTTGGTTATGTGGATAAATTGTGTAATGGTGAAGTCTAGGATTTTAGTGTACCTGTCATCCGAGTAGTGTACACTGTACCCCGTAGGTAGTCTTTCATCCCTCCCCCACCTCTTGGCCTCCCTCTTCTGAGTCTCCAATGTCCATTATATTACTCTGGATGCCTTTGTGTACCCAGAGCTTATTTCCCACTTAGAAGCCGGAAAATGCCATATTTGGTTTTCAATTCCTGAGTTACTTCACTTAGAATAATGGCCCTAGTTCCATCCAAGTTGCTCCAAAAGTCATTAGGAAATCTTTTTATGAAATGACAGATCCTAAATCTAATTATTTATCCTGATCAGCCTTATTCCCTAAATATTTGATGGAATTATAAGCATGAGTACAAATTGATATTTTTTATTTACTTATTTAATTTGTGGGAGATGTGTGCATAAAAGAACCCACTTAAGTACACAGAGCATTAGCACTGCTTCTTGGAGGCTCAGGTCTGGCCTCTGGATCCTGTGTTCAGCTTTTTCTGGAATCGAGGAACACTACAGGGAGAAGTGTCAGTCTCAATGTTGCAAGGGTGACCTCTGGAGTCTGGAAGCGCTCTGGGTTTGAGTTCCATTTTGTTACTTACTAGTTTGGTAACCTTAACTTTCTTAGTCTCTTTCAGCCCTGGTTTCTTCACCTGTAAACTGAGGATAATGGTGCCTACTTCTCAGGGTTGCTATGTCATTGAGTCAAAACACTTAGCCCAGGGGAGGCCCCAAGTCAGTGCCTGAGAGGTGGTAGCTCTTTTTACTATTAATAAGGGCAGATCCATGGATTAGGCATCTGTTAACATGTTAATCGGGAGACTGACAATTTCAGGAAAGTTCTGTATTTTGTTAACCCATCTGCTCATAGGAATACTGGTCACTCATGGCTCTGCGATACAAAATATAGCATTAATAATATAAATACATTTCTGGGAATGACAATAACTAAGAAAGAACCTTTTGAGCCAACCTTTAGGTTTGGGAATAAAAGCATAGATTCTTTGTAAAAATGGACAAATTTGCTGAAGACTCTAACTTGCAGAGACAGAAGGTGACATTTAGCCATGGACCATGACACATGTCTGACCTTCTGGGGCTCACGGCTAAGGCCACGTCCCACTCCCTGGAAATGAGTAATGCTAGCCTTGGGCTGTCGGGTTCCTTCAAACGATGGGAACCTTGGCCTGCAGCTTGGTTTTCATTTCTCTCTTTCCTATGGTGGGGCAGTGAAGTGCTTTAATTTAAAAGGTGCTTCCTGATGTTGAGAGAAAGGTTTTCTTTGGAGAAATGACAATTAGGGTAACAGCAAACTGGCAGCTCTGAATTCCCACGTGTCTAGTACCTTATGTTATTTAGCAAGGTGACCACTATCTCTCCACTTTGGAAAGACACAACATTTTCATGCAAAATTCATCTGACTGGAAATGGACCCTTCTAATACAGTGACTACTAACCTTTTGTGAGACATGAACCTCCTCAGACTCTCCCTAGAATAATTCACATCCATACCTGTAGGGGCTAAGGGAAAATGTCCCCTTTTGCCCTCTGAAAGTTCACTACAAATCAACTGACAAAAGGCAGATATATTATGTGAGAAAAGCATACAAGTTTATTGTAACATGCCTAGCACAGGTGAATTGTAGAAGAATGATTACTCGATGGGGGTACAAATGGTTATATACCCTTCTTCTTAGGAGAAAGGGAGGGAAGTATGGATAATTTTAGGGGGTGAATAAGTGATTTTTAGGGGAATTCACTGGGCTTGAAGAACACACAGTGGCCTGGGACAAAGTCTGTTGGGCCCGCAGAGCAGACGATTGTTTATGACAAAGGTCTGTCTGGATGTGTCCACAGGCTTCAGTCTTTCTTCCTGTGACATGAGTTAATGAAAACTCAGAGAGGGACCAAGGTCATTGATTTCTTTTTTGGAGGGTGTCTAGTTTAGGGAGATAAAGGAACTTCAGAGAACAACTTCATCCTGTGCTTTGGGAGAGACAGAGATGGGGTGAAGGTGGGTGCCAGGGGCCAGAGAGACCTTGAGGGTTTTTCTACAGTTCAGTATGTCAAAGAGTCATATTTTGGAGTATCAGTTTCTGAGCCCCAACATACATAACCACAAAATTTTGCAGATTATTTTAGCAAATTCAGGACTGAGGATGAGGTCTACGGAGATGGAAATGATGTCCAGGGCATTAGTTCTAATATATAATAATATACAATATATAATAATATATATTATTATAATATATAATTAGTTCTAATATATAATTTATATTACAGCAACCCAAGGATCTAGGTATACATCAATCCTCGAGGAATAGCTGGTCAAGTTGCAAACTCCATGAGTTTTCCTCAATCTAAGCTTCTTTCCAAAGAAGGGACTGTATAAGGTGTTCCTATGTCATTCATTACTGCTCACCTATTTGTTCAGTCATTTATCATCCTATGCTCATTGATGGTCCATTTGTAGGTAGTATTTAACAACTCTTAAATTTTAAGATTGACAGGCCAGGTGTGGTGGTTCACACCTGTAATCCCAGCACTTTGGGAGGCCGAGACAGGCGGATTTTGAGGTCAGGAGAGTGAGACCATCCTGGCTAACACGGTGAAACCCCAACTCTACTAAAAAAAATACAAAAAAGTTAGCTGGGTGTGGTGGTGGGCACCTGTAGTCCCAGCTTCTCTGGAGGCTGAGGCAGGAGAATGGTGTGAACCTGGGAGGCGGATCTTGCAGTGAGCCGAGATCGCACAGCCTGGTGACAGAGGGAGACTGTCTCAAAAAAAAAAAAAAAAAAAAACATTGATTGACAGTATCTCAACGCTCAAACGATACGGAAGGAAGAGGCTTGAGTTAGTCAAGTATCTATTCTGAACACAACCGGTAAGCAAATACGGACTAATCAACTCACTATTATTTAGCTGGCTTACTCTACCAATCCTGTTTTATGAGTTGTTATGGGCAATGGGAGAAACAGATCTATCATGCTCAGGATGCTTGTATCCTAAAAGACAAGGAAGCATCGAGATACCTGGGACAATTAGAAATCACATGAGAGCTAAGATGTGCATTGAAAGAACCATAAAACTTAATGCTTCAGAGAAGAGGGAATCCAATCTGGTTTGGAGCAACTAAAACATTTTTTGATATTTTCAAATCCCAAATTTGTAGAAATTGTTACTTAGTCATGAAAATGTTCTCATGTCTCCTTTTAAGTCATCCAAAGGCCAGATTGACTAAAAGTCATTCTATGAAGTGTTGTCTTCCCCCACACTGGTGTCCACGTGTATCACTGAACAGATCACTCAGGAATTACTTTGGTCAACAACTCTGTGGAGTGGCTTGTGTCTCTTTCTCTAAGATGTTCTTTATGAAATAAAATGTAGACTTCTAACTTTGGAATAGGTAGGAGAGGATTTTTGTTTATTAAAGTTGAGTTTTAAAAGCCTAAATTAAGGACGCGAACTTTAAAAAATAGGCAAAGGGAGGCCGGCTGCAGTGGCTCACTCCTGTAATTCTAGCACTTTGGGAGACTGAGGTGGGTGGATCACCTGTGGTCAAGAGTTCAAGACCAGCCTGGACAACATGGCGAAACTCCATCTCTATTAAAAATACAAGAAGTAGCTGGGTGTGGTGGCACGCACCTGTAGTCCCAGCTACTCGGGAGGCTGAGGTGGGAGAATTGTCGAACCCAGGAGGTGGAGGTTACAGTGAGCCAAGATGTGCCACTGTACTCCAGCCTGGGTGACCGAATGAGATTCCCTCTCAAAAACAAAAAAACAAAAACAGGCAAGGGGAAAGTGGAAATGAATACCATCAATTCTGCCCTAAAAAGAAAATGGCAGTAACATTTCATTTTGTATTGCAACATTTTCAATTTTACATTGGATCTAAATAAGCTGAACAAAACGTAAAACATGTCACCACGTTCTAATCATGAGAAGCAAATTACTGAAAAAGTTTTTCTACTTAGTGGAATACTTCTAGTAATTGTTACTTAGTTGTAAAAATATTCCCTTATCTTCTTTTATCTTTTAAGTCATCCAAAGGCCAGATGTTGAGAAATCAAGATGAAGGCCTTCCCTTTACTGCAAACAATTGGCAGCCTATAATAAGCTTAATTAAATAATTGCTTTGGACCGTCTTGGGTATAATTAATTATTTAGCTCTAAAGAACTGCTGGAAACAACAGCGGACACAAAATTCAAGCATTCAGGGTTTCTGAGATACAACATTTTGATGTTCTCACAGCCCTTACTGGCCCTGAGTTAGATAAGTGAATGTAATTTGTTTTAAGTTGAATGTCATAGATACTTAGTTGTAAACTTGAAGTTGGAAGGCTGTCAGAGCATGGAATTTAAATCCAGTGGACTTTGCATGTGGGGTTCTTTCTCCCTTGGTAGAGTAGGAGGAAAAGATGAGAAGAAAGTCTCCAATGTTTGGGAAAGATGAAGACCGCGGGTCCCTTCTCTAGAGTGACAGGAGGAGGCTGGGCCAGCCATCACCCCAGGCTCAGGCCACATTCTGGGGCAGAGAGAAAGGGGTTCTCAGG